CTCTCCTCTCTCCTCTCTCTCCTCTCCTTTCCTCCTCCTCTCTCTCTCTCTCCCTCTCTCCTCTCTCTCTCTCTCTCCTCCTCTCTCCTCCTCTCCCTCCTCTCCCTCCTCTCCTCCTCCTCTCTCTCCCCTCTCTCTCTCCTCCATCTCTCCCCTCTGTCTCCTCCCTCTCTCCACTCTCTCTCCTTCCTCTCTCCCTTCTTTCCTCCTCCTCCCTCCTCTCTCTCCTTCCTCTCCTGCTCCCTCTCTCCTCCCTCGTTCCCTCTCTCCTCTCGTCTTCTGTTTACTCTGATGTTATGATCCGTGTTTAGTTCTCGTGACCTTTCAGCTGTTCAGTCCCTCTGAAGTATGTAGTACAGGTTTGTAGTATTTGTAGTTCTAGTACTTCCTGATACTTCACACGCTCCACTTCAGGCACAGGAACAAAACATCATGTGACCCATGTTTTTCTCAAACACAGAATCATGTAAACAACTTATGATACTTGTACTACTACTACTACTACTACTACTACTACTACTACTACTGCTAATACTACTAACACTATTACTACTACTACTACTACTACTACTACTGCTAATACTACTAACACTATTACTACTACTACTACTACTACTACTACTACTACTACTACTACTACTACTACTACTACTACTACTGCTACTACTACTACTACTGCTAATACTACTAACACTATTACTACTACTACTACTACTGCTAATACTACTAACACTATTACTACTACTACTACTACTACTACTACTACTGCTACTACTACTACTACTACTACTACTACTACTACTACTACTACTACTACTACTACTACTACTACACTATTACTACTACTACTACTACTTCTACTACTACTGCTACTACTGCTACTACTGCTACTACTACTACTACTACTACTACTACTACTACTACTGCTACTACTACTACACTATTACTACTACTACTACTACTACTGCTACTACTACTACTACTACTACTACTACTACTACTACTACTACTACTACTACTACTACTACTACTACTACTACTACTACTACTGCTACTACTACTACACTATTACTACTACTACTACTACTACTACTGCTACTACTACTACTACTACTACTAATACTATTACTACTACTGCTACTACTACTACTGCAACTACTACTACAACTGCTACTGCTACTACTTCTATACTACTACTACTAACACTGCTGTTGCTACTGCTACTACTACTTTTATACTACTACTACCATAACTACTACTACTGCTAACACTGCTGCTACTACTACTACAACTACTACTGCTACTTCTACGACTACTACTATACTGCTACTACCACTACAACAACTACTACTACTACTACAACTAATACTGCTGCTGTTAGAGATTAAATTGTAATAGTAGTAGCAGTAGTAGTAGTAGTAGTAGTAATTTTTGTATAGTAATGTACAGTTTCTACTGCAACTACTAACACTATAACAGATTTAGAATGGAGTAAAAAGTTGTACTAATAACAAACACACTTACTCTATCTGCCTTTTGCACTTTTTACATTTATTATGATTTATTTATTTTCATGGGAGTGAGAAACACAATTTCCATTCTTTATATGTTTTTCATATGAAGAATTTACAATAAACTTTTTTGAACTTTTGAACTTTGAAAGTATTTCTGAATTATTCTAATTTACAGAAGTGTCTCACAAGAATTAAAATGTGATAAAACATTCGGGCAAAGGGCAAAATATTTGTATTTTTTATATTACATAACTGTGTGAGTTCAACGTGACCAAAGAGGCTGAAGTCATGAGGCGTTTGTGGTACAAAAATATGACTAAAACTGCAACTACTTTGGAGAAGTTACAATATATGGGCAATATAAATATATGGAAAATATCTATGGGCAATCTAAGAGTACTAGTAGCAGCAGCAGTAGTACTAGTAGTAGTAGCAGTAGAATTGTTAGTAGTAACAGTAGCAGTAGTAGCAGAAGCAGTAGTAACAGTATGTTACGACCCAGCTCGTTTGGGGTGAGGGAAGTAACAAAAATAAAACCAAGATGTAAAATGGAATAAATTAAGTAATGTTTAATTAACAGGAATGTAAAGGTAAATTAACAAAACCCTAAAAATATACAGAAAACAACCTAAACTAAGAAACAGAACAACAGAATAAACAGAGTTTTGTGCCAGAAAAGGGGTCACGCAGGCTTACACAAAAACGAGTGGTAAAACTTAGGGACACACACTAAACTAAAACACAAGTTCCCCAAATTAAACCACATAAACCCACAAACAGAATCGAGTGACCAAATCAAAAAAGGCACAAAACAGAACTAGACTAAACTACACACACACAACAAAATGGCAGACTGGCCACCAAGGCCAGCAGCCCCGAACAGGTGCTGGCAATCTCCTTAAATAGGGGGAGGTGGCTGCAGGTGAGGTGGGCGTCGACTTGCCCCACCAATCACGGACCAGGACTCCTGCAGCAGGAATTAGGAGAACTTCGCAAAAATCACACAGCAAATTAAACCTAAGGCCTGGGGCCGTAACACAGTAGCAGTAATAGTAGCAGTAGCAGTAGTAGAAGCAGTAGCAGTAGTAGTAGCAGAAGCAGTAGTATTACTAGTAAGAGTAGCAGTAGCTGTACTAGTAAATGTAGTAGTAGCAGCAGTATCAGTAGTAGCAGCAGCAGCAGCAGCAGTAGTAGCAGTAGCAGTACTACAAGCAGTAGTAGTACTAGTAACAGTAGGAGTAGCAGTAGGAGTAGCAGTAGTAGTACTAGTAGGAGTAGCAGCAGTAGTAGCAGTAGCAGTAGCAGTAGTAGCAGTAGCAGACTACTAGGAGTAGTAGTACTAGTAGGAGTAGCAGTAGTAGTACTAGTAACAGTAGTAGTAGCAGTAGTAGTACTAGTAGCAGTAGTAGTAACGGCAGCAGTAGCAGTAGTAGTTCCTCTTGGCCTCTATGTAAACAGCTGACATCCACACTGGTCACATTCAGAAGTGTGTAGTAGTAGCAGTAGTAGTATTGTCAGCAGCGGTAGTAGCAGTACCAGTAGTAGTGGTAGTAGTAGTAAAAATAGTAGTAACAGTAGTAGTTCCTCTTGGCCTCGGTATAAACAGCTGGTGACGTCCACACTGGTCACATTCAGACTTGTGTAGTCGTAGGAGTAGTAATAGTACTGTCAGCAGTAGTATTAGCAGTAGTAGTAATAGTAGTAGTAGTAAAAATAGTAGTAACAGTAGTATTTCCTCTTGACCTCGGTGTAAACAGCTGGTGACGTCCGCACAGTCACATTCAGTCACTTTCAGACGTGTGTTTGACCTCCTGTCCTCTCGTCTCTCTGTGCTCTTACGTAAATGCTCCAGAATGAACAATTGGGCAACAGGGCAAAAAGTCACAGCTGAAGACTCTTTAAAGGAACTTTTGTAAACTGCACATAATCAGATAAAACACATCTTGTTATTTAGTCGATTAATCTGTCAAAATTTTTATTTGCTGACTAATGATTGTATTTAGATTGTCAGGAGAATTTAGTGATTTAGCTGAAGATTTGGTATTTTTATGTATTTATACTTAAAATGACACATTAGAGTCACGATCCACTGGTTTAAAAGTGCAGAACTTTTTGGTGGTGGGTCCGTCACCTGCTTGTTTCTATAGATACAGTACATTATTGCTCTGCCTGGAATGTTCCACAGTATGGCATTAAACAGCTCTGCTTTACATTTATTCAATTACAGGTGGTTTTAAGAGCTCAAAAACACCTATTCTACAAATTCAAACATTCTGACTGTGAGCGGGGTCGCCTCTCCGCAGATCTGACCTGTAACTTGGTCTGGTTTGGGCTCTGTGAAGATAGAACTGTTTAATGCCATACTGTGGAACTTTCCAGACAAAGCAATAACATCGCCATGGAGACAAGGATTTGATGGACCCTCCACTAGAAAATTTACACAATGCTCCTTTACTCTATATATCTGTATATTTGTATATGTTTAAAGAGAGATATTTGAGAGATTTAAGAATTTATTTGGTCGAATACAGCTCTAATAACACAGTTTATTTCTTATACAAAAAGTTAATTCATTAAATTCCTTGTAGTAGTAGTAGTAGTAGTAGTAGTAGTAGTAGTTGTTGTTGTTGTTCAGTCAATCAATCAAACTTTATTTATAACCTTTGATTGTTGTAGTAGTAGTTGTAATAGTTGTAGTAGTAGTTGTAGTTGTTGTTATAGTAGTAGTTGTAGTAGTAGTAGTAGTAGTTGTTGTTGTATTTGTAGTAGCTGTTGTAGTAGTTGTTGCAGTCTTTGTAGTAGTAGTAGTAGTAGTTGTAGTAGTAGTAGTTGTTGTAGTAGTAGTAGCATGAATAGTAGTATTAGTAGTTGTTGTAGTAGTTGTAGAAGTCGTTGTTATAGTAGAAGTAGTAGTAGTAGCTGTTGTAGTAGTAGTAGTAGTAGTTGTTAGTTGTTGTTGTTATATTTGTAGTAGCCGTTGTAGTAGTTGTTGTAGTAGTAGCTGTTATTGCAGTAGTTGTCGTAGTTGCTGTAGTTGTTGTTATAGTAGTTGTTGTAGCAGTAGTAGTTGTTGTATTTGTAGTAGCTGTTGTAGTAGTTGTTGTAGTAGTTGTTGCAGTAGTTGTTGTAGTAGCTGTTGTAGTAGTAGTTGTTGCAGTAGCTGTAGTAGCTGTTGTAGTAGTTGTTGTAGTATTACTTGTTGAAGTAGTTGTAGTAGTAGTAATACAAGTAGTACCAGAACTGCATTGATAATTATGGCAACGTTTTAATCTTCTAAACTCACAACAATGTACAGCAGTCTCATTTTTATTTTAATTTATAAGTATTTCTATCTACATATTAGTTTTCTGTGATGTGATTGGCTCATTTCATGTGTGGGCGGGGCTTAGTAATACATTAATTTTACTATAACACGTACAGTTTACTAGTCATGACTCAGTATTTCACACTTACTCACTGAACACTGAAAAACACACAACACACAGATTGTTCTTTGATTAAAAAAATAATTTATTTGCGTCATGAAAATACAAAAACAGTGCAATGGTAATGAGTATTTGAATGTCAAATAAATACGTGAAAAACACATGGGTGAAGAAAGAGCTTGCACAAATACTCAAGCTGTAGTTTCGCTCCTTGAATTGTCTTTTTAAAATCGTTTTCGCCTTCAAGAAAATGTACAACTTCACTTCGACTTCGGCTTCGAGTCCAGATATTTTCAGCTTAAATGCGTGAACTCAAGTTTTTTTTGTACAATGTGGCGTACGATTTCAGCAAAACAATAGAAATGCACTTGTTAGCGACGTAGCTTTAGCTGCCTTTAACACAGTAATGTCTTTAATGCAAATCAATGTGATCTTTGTACCGTCTTACAAAAGGCAACAATAATAATGAAGATCAGACCCGTTTAAACCCAAATTTCTAAATAGTTTATGAAATTTTTGATGAAATTCTAGTTAACTGGGAAAAATATTGGATTTTCTGGTATGAAACTGGTACAAAAGGTGTTTTTTTGGTTAATGTCGTTCAAAATTTCAAACAATTTTGCATTTCTTAAAACATAAAATCAAATCAAATATCAAATGTATTATAACATTTCAGAAAATGACTTGTGAATTCCATTTAAAATTTAGAATGAAATTTTAGTAAATTTTTTATCTGAAAAATTTAAATTTAACCAGAATAATATTTAATAATTTTCCAAAAAATTTTAGGAATGTAACAGTAAGTTTAAAAAAATTAAAATTATCTTAACTAATTTCCCTTTTATAACATGAATTTGTTTAAATATTTTATAGGGAATATTTAACTTAATATAATTTTATAAATAAATTTGTTAATAAATAAATTTGACATTTTTATCACATTGGACTTCTACTAAAATTCCAATATTTGTAAGAATGCTTGCAGTATTTAAGTAAAAAAAACAAAAAAAAACTAGTACATTTCAAATATTTCCCATAAAATTTCATTATAAATTTAGGCTTAAATGGGTGACAATAAGTATATTCGTTAATAAATAAATTTGACATTTTTATCACATTGGACCTCTACTGAAATTTTTTTTTAAATGACTAAGTTTCAAATATTTCCCATTGAATTTCATTATACTTTTGGGCTTAAATTGGTAAAAAAGTAAGTCCACTGCCGTTGAATTAACTTATAATGGAGAATGCGTGAGAACATTGCTCCATGATGGCTACTTTTCGAATAGTTAATACATTTATTTATTTATTTATTTATTTTAGAAATGTATTTCATATCAATAAATATATTTGTTAATAAATAAATTTAACATTTTTATCACATTGAACTTCTGCTGAAATTCCAATATTTGTAAGAATGTCTGCAGTATTGAAGTAAAAAAAAAAAAAAAAAAAAAAAAAAAAAAAGATCTGACAAGTTTCAAATATTTCCCATTGAATTTAGTTATAATTTTGGGTTTAAACGGGTCAAAATAAGGCCATTGCCGTTGAACGATCTTATAATGGAGAATGCGTGAGAACATTGGTCCAAGATGGCTACTTCTCGAATTGTTTTCTAACATTCTTCAATCAGCAGTCCTTCGGAGCAGTACAGTTTCTTTTTTATCACCCTAAAACCAGTGCTTAGCTTCACTTCTTGCCGTATTACGGGAGCGAGCGGCGATTTGGGGCTAAAAAGTCCTTGGATTTTCGGCCAAATCCCGCTCGTCTCCAGCCGCAGCACAAGAGTCAGTTGGAACGTGGGTACGAGGTAAGGATCTACAGACAACTGCGTGACGCTTTCGTAGCCCTCGCCTTGCTCGATGCACAGGTCGATCAGCGCCCCCCGGAGGCCGCAGGGTTCGCTGGCAGCCAAATGGAGCAGTTCCTGACCTATGTGCTGTAAGAGTTTTTCGGGGATGAGAAGTTTGCTGCATTTTAAGGCACTGTCGGAGTCTTTAGCGTCGCGTAAACTGGAGGCGATGAGGTCCACGACTTCCTTCAGTAAGTGCTCTTCCATCGGGTCGAAAAACAGATCGTCGCTCGGGCTCAAATCGCCAGAAGTGTCCGAACCTGGAAAAGAGAAAATAACATTCAAATTTAGTTTTAGAATCCAAATATTGTCAAATTTTCTAATGTTATTGGCTATTTCAAGTTCATTTTTCGGAATTTACACCACAGAAAAATGATCATAAACTGTTTTAATTTTTCATGACTTGCTTAGGCCATTTGCTTTTCTGAATTAAACTTTTTTTTACTTAACCCATTTATAAAATTTTTACTAATTTAACTAATACTTCTTAATGATTTTAAACTAAAAACTGTTTATATCAGTTTCAGTAATTATTTCTTTGTTATATCTTGCTGATGTTACCTAACCAGGTCATGTTTTGATTTTTCATTATTTATTTTTCTATTTTATTTTGACATACATTTCTTTTTTGCTACTTTTATTACTACAATTTATATTTTTTACTCTTTGTTATTCTCTTAAAACCCATTTGTGTGGTCCTCTCTGTCTTTTATTTCATTTTATTTATTTTATAAATTTTTGTAATCATTTTTTAACTTTAAGCATTTTAAAACTTTTTATTTATTTACTGTTTTTTATTGTTTTAATTTGTCTGTTCAGCACTTTATAAACTATTATAATTATAAAATGTGCTTTATAAATAAAATTGATTGGATTATTATGAGCTACTGTGTCCAAATAATTTCCGTTGTGGATCAGTGATTAAAAGAGTATGCAAAAAAGTTGGTATCTCAAAGTTTGCATAAAGAAATTGCCACTTCTTGCTGCTCTAATACGACTTGGTTTTATGTTACAAACGTCTAATATCTGAATTTTTTACTTATTTACCAACAACAACAGACTTTAAAAACTTGGACGATGCAAAAATAGCCTTAAATCTCCCTAAATATGTGTTTAAAAGTTATTCTTGTCTTTACCTGAGTCTGAGAGGTCGCTCCTGCTCCCGCTGTTGGACTCCATGCTGCCGCTGAAGTCTGCAAGTCTCTGGACCAGTTTGCCCCAGGAGAGTCTCCGAGGGCTGGTGCCGTCCAGGGGAGAGGTGGGGGCACTGCCCACGACCAGGTCACTGTTAGTGGAGAGGGTGGGCATGGCTTCTGCTGGCTCCGGTTTCCAAATTCTCCAAGTCTGCGACAACTGTGGGTCAAGACGAAGAAAAGGTTAGAGAAAAGACAAAGCACAAAAGAGCAGTGTAGGATGACAAAGGAGATAGTATAGCCCTGTGTAATATGTGTTAGGTTGTTCTGGTTTAGTCCTGGTTTAGTCCTGGTTTAGGCCTAGTTTAGTCCTGGTTTAGGCCTAGTTTAGTCCTGGTTTAGTCTTGCGCTAGTTCTGTTGTAGTTCTTCTCTAGTCCGGTTGTAATCCTGTTCTAGTCCTGCTCTAGTCCAGTTCTAGTCCTGGTTTAGTCCTGCCTCTAGTCCTGGTTTAGTCCTGCTCTAGTCCAGTTCTAGTCTTGGTTTAGTCCTGTTCTTTTTTGGTTTAGTTCTTTTGTAGTCCTGGTTTAGTCCTGCTCTAGTTTTTGGTTTAGTTCTTTTCTAGTCCTGGTTTAGTCTTACTTTAGTTCTGTTGTAGTCCTGGTTTAGTCTTGCTCTAGTTTTTAGTTTAGTTCTTTTGTAGTCCTGGTTTAGTGCTACTCTAGTCCTGTTGTACTGGTTTAATTCCAACTTTAGTCACAGTTTGTCCATACTTATTGTACATTTGCAAAACACATTATTAAACTCTTATTTTAATTTTAATATATGTTTTCACAGCTCAGCGCTCACTAATTGTCAAGACTTGGAAATCCACAGTTTGGCAATTAAGATATAAATTACAGTTTTTAAGATATTTCCATGGTAACTAATTGCTATCCATTAATTACGATAATTTAACAAAGTTTTGACAGTTCTGGGTGAAAAAAATAGACCTCAATGCAAACTAAATGTGTTGAAAATTAAAATATTTGTGGTTTTGATAACATAATATGAAATTGTTTAGTCAAATATCGATAAATTGTGCAAAGATAAGCATAAAAAACTTGACAATAGAAACGCGTAGGTGAACTGTAGGCTCTAGATACTGTAACAATGGACTTCCTATATGCAAGGATTAAACTGTGCAAAAAAAAAAATCACAAATATTCATGCTTTTTGTGTAATTTATTACATTTTAGTTACATAATAATGAACTGTAATGTCATTTTTGCACAATTTAATCTCTAGTTGTCATTGCATTAGACAAAGTTCATTGTTCAACAGATCCATTGTCCTTTTCTATCTTATTTTTTTCTAGAATTAAGTAAAATTTTTAGCTTTTACATGCATTTTTGCTCATTTAAAGTAGCATTTTGACCATTTTCAGTGTTGTTTTGCGGTGTTACGTCGCAGATGCGTTGTTTTTGCAAAGCTGTTTGTGTGCTGAGCTTTTTCTATAGCTTCCATTGCAACTCACAGCACAAAGAACTACCCACAAATGACAATAACTGCAGTAATTTCTGGTGTATTTCAACATTTCTAGGCCTAAATAGTGATAATTACAGCTGGATTGTCAATTACAAGTTTGCATATGAAAATCAGACAATGAATGAAAAGCTCCTTGCGCTTTAAGTTGCCATTTAAGCTCAGAAAAACGCGTAAAAAGTGTAATAAATCAATACTCACGTGCTTTTTTAGTAGAGCGATATCTTTAATTTCTTCATAGATGTTTTGCGGGGTTGTCTTGGAAGTTTATTGTCTAAAAAAGTGCAAAGAAAAGTTGCAAATCCTTCTGGGACATTCTCTGGACGTGTCAGCTGAAGACTGCGGTTTGAGCCTCGGCAACAATGCTTTTATACTGGCATTGGAAGCCCCGCCCCCGCCCCGCGCTCTCGGCCAATCAGAAAGAGAGGCTCGCCATCTGCGCAGGGTTCTGCCTGGTAACACGCCAGCGGAGGAGACAAACAACAAGCGAGAGAAAAGCACAGGGACAGGCGGCTTTAGAGGACGCTAGAGTGACGCGTTACGGCCTACGTGACGAGTGCAGCCGCCATTTTGGGAGTGTAACGGAACTGTAAAATCAAAGTTCAAAGTTAGTTTTATTGTAAATTTCTTCACAAGTACGAAATTCATTCACGAAATTATTGTCCTATGTGCACAGACACAACAAATAACATAATTTCTAACCACTACCTAACCATAGATAAATAAATTAAGCTAAAAAGACTATAGCGTTTCAAGTCAGATCAAGTATTAGCAGCAGTAATAAAATAGTCGTAAATAAATTGTTTAATAAAAGTAAAATTGCTGGGTTAAATGGTGGCAGCTAAAATTAATAAATTTTAGGGATTAAAGGACGCTATATCGGCTATGTTGGGAGTGTATTAGGACTGTGAATTGTTGAATAAATGTCTTAAATCAAAATACAGAAGTAGTTTCAAAGTCATAATAATAGATTTTAAATAAACTGTCATTATAATTACTATATCGATTTATTGCTCGATACATGAAAGCTGGAACAATGTGTTTTTGGACTCGTGTACATTTTCGTTGCACAAAAACAGAGATTTTTGTTGTAATACGATAAAATTTGAGCTGTAGAGTGTGGAATAAGTAACTTTAATGGCTAATTATTGCTTAATTCTGTAATTTTGATGTTACAGCTCAACTTTTATTGATACTGACTGTGTTAAAAATGGTTTGTTAAGAATAAACTACTTTATTTTTATTGCGTCAGAGGCATAAAGTCAGTTTCTACATTATCGTTTATCATTATATTTTTCTGTACCATTATACTGTGCTTCAAAATTGTGACGGAACTACACTTTTGAGGACTTTTCCTCCTTCAAATAATATATATTTAGTTTTATATATGTTTTTTTATGACAACTGTCCTTAGTTTTTATCATTCTATTATTTGGATAGTCTTAGATACGCTATTTTATGCCGTAATGTGGCCTTATTGATTCTTTACACCAATAACATTATCTTAGCATGGCATAATAACCTGTTATTCATTGATGCAACAGCAATTCCATCTGCACTTTATAATGTATATACCTTTGATGTTTTGGATTGTTGCTATGTTTTCTGCGATAGGACAAAAAAAAAAAGACTTTCATAGAAGAAAACCATGACGACTTTGCGTTGATGCGTAACAATCCCATCTGCAATTTATAGTGTATCTACATTAGCTGTTTTGTCATGTTGTTGTGTTTCTGTAATAAAATAATAATAATAATAATAATAATAATAATAATAATAATAACCTGTTATATGAATGCCATGATAATAAAATTTTTAACACCAAATAGTAGGTCTAGTTTTGACATTATAAACTAATTTGGAAGCAAGATCATAAGGATTTTCGTGGTCAATTAAACATACTTAAAAAAAATAAACAAATATCAATAAAATGGCAATAACTAAAGTGTTGCTCCAGTTTGTTGAGTTGAGCCGACCTTTCCAACATGGCGGCCACAGGAGGGGGGGGTAGACGTCATTCCTTTCCCTCTAGTGTTTTCTAAGCGCAGCCTGGATCATAGCGCTGATGAATAGCAGAACTCAGAGCGATGGAAATGTACTAAGACCTGCCTGGACTTGTTTATCTTATATCACACGTCGCGATTAAACGGTTCTCACAACGACGCATGCACAGGCGGTTTAGTAATGTTTGAACGTGCATTAAATAAGAGATTACAGTCGTATTACTTTTTTATTTATTTAATTTTTTTAACGGCGTTGCAGACAGTGAGGGTTACGTCACCTGTTTTGTACCGAGCCAAGCAGCATTACATCAGAATAATTCAGCTGGAGGCACGTACAGCCACGCAAACAAGCGCAAAAATAAATACATATATAAATAAATTAATAAACAAGAGTAAAAAACTGGAATTCTAGCCACATTTTGTACATTGCACGTATTATAAAACAGTTGCATGTAAAAAAAGTAGTGTTGTTGTCATGACACTAAAATTTCCAACTTGATTTCAATACTAAAGATCAGACTTATACCAATTTTGATCATTTTGAGGCTTCTTTTATTTTTTATTTAAGCAATATCAGATTTAGTTTCTTATTATAAGTGCAAAAAGTTGTTGTTTTTCTTAAGTCCAGCTGATGTATTTTCATGTTCTGTCAAACGCTTTTCTCCACGGACATGTTATTGCTTTGTCTGGAATGTTTCGCAGTGTGGCATGAAACCTTTCTGTCTCCATAGAAACCAAACCAGACCGAGTCACAGGTCAGATCTGTGGAGAGGCGACCCCGCTCACAGTCAAAACGCCTGTTTATGTGAGTGTTTTCGAGCTCTAAACCCACTTGCGATTCAATAAATGTAAAATAGAGGTGTTTAATGTCACGCTGCGGAACATTCCAGGTTAAGAAATGACATCTCCATAGCAACAAGCAGGTGAGAGATGCAGAAAAGTTACACAATGTACCTTTAAATGCAAAAAGTCTTCTTAAATTGGTAGATAATTTGACTTGTCAAGCTGAATCTACTCAAATAAAGTCAAATATTCTTCATTTAAGTCATATTAACTTGTCTAGATTTTAGTTGCTGCAGAGTTTTTCTAATTTAAACCACAATTTGTACTTTTGTTTCTACAAGAGAGAGCACGAAACCGCAGCTTCGGTTGAGTGGGCCTGTGTATGAACGTGTGTAGGAGTTGTTTTCCACAGTCTGACATTGAAACAGTCTCTTTACATTTGCACACACAGAACACACAAAACACACACACACCACACACACCAGCGTCTGCACCGTCGAGATGTTTACTTCACTGGATTCTTCTCCCGTTATTCACGCACCAAAACATCTCACGCGTTCATTCTTTTCTCTTGCTCAACGTCAGGTGCGCTGCAAAACAATACGCGCCTTTGTTAGTTGTCGAAAGTCGTGCTGTAAAGTGGGTTTAAAAGCGTGAAATTGACCCTTGTGAGCTTTAAGATGTGTTAAAATGTTGTTACCTCCTCAAAAACAAACCTGCGCTGGAAAAAAACAACATCTAGATAAGTTTAAATGACTTCAATTATGAATATTTTACTTTATTTGAGTCGATTCAACTTGAAAAGTAAAATTATCGACCAGTGGAGTAAGTGTGTTTTTCTTAATTCAAGCAACATTCGATTTTGTTTCTTATTTTAACTGAAAATAAGTTGTTTTTCTTATTTTAAGTGTAGATAAGATGTATTTTCATATTTTAAGAACAAAAAGTCTTAAATTTTACTTGTCAAGTGAAATTTACTCAAATCGTGATAAAACTTTCTTAATTCAAGTCGTCTTAACTTGACTAGTTTTTGTTTTTTTGCCGTGTGGAGTTGTGTTTTGTTTCATTCACACATGTTTGAGTAACACTTTATTATTAGTTTGTTTACGTTTCCAAAGCTCAAACTGCTCTGTTCCACTTTGTGATGTCATGAAGTGGGAGTTTTCAAGTTGCCAGCTACTTTTTACCTTTATTTCAGTAGAGATCAATTTAATTTCTCTCCAACCGACCAGCGACTAGGTCAGGAATCAGAATCCACTAGACGGTTCGCAAAAACCCGGAAGTGCGAGTTTGGGCACCAGCCAATCAGCGAAGAGACATACATTCTGTGTTGGCAACGATTCCTGAGATCGTTTTCGTGCTGAAAAGTGGTTTTAAAAGCTCCTATATTGCGTGAAATTGACTCTTGTGAGCTTTAAGACGTGTTAAAATGTTGTTACCTCCTCAAAATCCAAACCTGCGCTGGAAAAAAACAACATCTAGATAAGTTTAAATGACTTAAATTATGAATATTTGACTTTATTTGAGTCGATTCAACTTGAAAAGTCAAATGATCTACCAATAGAATAAGTGTGTTTTTCTTAATTCAAGCAACATTCGATTTTGTTTCTTATTTTAACTGAAAATAAGTTGTTGTTTTTCTTATTTTAAGTGTAGATTAAGATGTATTTTCATATTTTAAGAACAAAAAGTCTTTAATTTTACTCGTCAAGTGAAATTTACTCAAATCGTGATAAAACTTTCTTAATTCAAGTCGCCTTAACTTGATTAGATTTTGTTTTTTGGCGTGTTGAGTTGTGTTTTGTTTCATTCACACATAGTACATTCACGCGTAGCAAGATCACCATGGATACAAGATGGCGGTGCGACACACAAAAGTTACGAATCAGATCTGTGGAGAGGAAACCCCGCTCACAGTAAGAATGTTTTTAGCAATAAAAACGCCTGTAATCAAATAAATGCTACAGATGTGTCTAATAATGCTCTATTATGGAACATTCACACATAGCAAGATCACCATGGAGACAAGCTGGTGATGCAACATGCAAAAAACATACAAAAAGGTCAGATCTGTGGAGAGGAGTCAACGCTCACAGTAAGAATTCATGTTTTTTGAGGTACATTTGAACAATAAAAACAGCAGGTAAAAAGTTAAATCGTTAAATAAATGCTACAGATGTGTCTAATAATGCCGTACTGCGGAACATTCATGCATAGTGAGATCACCATGGAGACGAGCTGGTGGTGTGGAACATGCAAAAGTTATGAATCGGATCGCTGGAGAGGAGAATAATAAGAAAGCATGTTTTTCAAGGTACTTCTGAACAATAAAAACACAATTTAAATCATTAAATAAATGCTACAGACGTCTCTAATGATGTTGTACTAACAATAATAACAATAGCCAAATGTTATGAAGCAGATCTGTGGAGAGGAGACCCCGCAAACAGTAAGAATTCATGTTTTTCAAGTTACTTTTGAACAATAAAAACAGCAATAATACAAAAAAAAAAAAAAAAATTAAAAAATGCAACAGATGCGTTTAATAATGCCAAACTGTGGAACATTCATGCAAAACAGCATCCCCATGGAGACAAGCTGGTAGTGCGGAACATG